TTGAAGAACGCCAACCCACTCCCTCCCCTGCCTGGATTTTGGGTGAGAAGCGAAGACACTCACAACAAACAGACTCGGTACGGATCAGTGTTTAAAGGTTAAGATGGACCCAGAATGGGAAGGAGTGAACTTAAACATAGGCCTTTTAAGGGCTGGGCTCCTGAGCGTTGTACTGATCCACCGAGTACTAGCTGAGACACGCTGTGCTTGCACAGGGAGTTCCTCAGTCACCCACCCTGGAGATTCTCCCAAGTGGCAGCTGCTATTTCAGCCGAACAACGCACGGTGACTTGATGTGCCCAGTTAGCAACCTTTGGCTGAGACATTCCATCAAGGGCCCATCTGCTTTGAAGAGTTTTTCCACAACTCCAAAATCCTGGCCAGCATTCTCCCTCAACATTTGGGCAACTGCTGAGGGCAGACCAGCTGCAGCACCTGCCAATGTTTCACTCACTTCAGTGGGAAGAGCTTTAGGACACCTGTAGTATGAAAGGTGCCTCATAAACCCAAAGTCATCCATGAAGCTATCCCATATGAAAAAACCCTTTTCTATTGCCGGCTGCAGTGCGGTGCGCTGCATGTCTGAGAGCCATATGCCACTGACATTCATGTACTCAATAGCATTGCTGTGTATTTTACCTGGAAATATCGACACAGTATTCTGCACACCAGCACGCATTGAAAGACGGCCTTGCTCCAGCACAGTTCCCTCGTTTAGCAAGTCCAGATTAGCCAGCTGGAAACGAACAGCTATTTTGAGCACAGAGTGAATGATTTACAAACATCACCACATTGCTTAGGTAAAGAGATCTGAACGATTATACAGCTGAAAAATGAACTGTGCTTGCTGACACTCAGCTGATTTTGAAAGGTGACATTTCCCATTTCTATAGCACCTTTCATACGAGGATCCCCTAGCACTTTACAGAGGTGGGCATCCCCCCCAAATAATCCCTAAAGTGGGTATTGCTCAGGTAGGGAAACTGAGGCACAAAGATTAAGCGACTTGCCCCAGGTCACCCAGCTAGTGAGTGGAGTAGTAGAGACAGACTCGAGTGTCTTGGCGTGCAGGTCCCTGCTCTAACCACTAATCCCTGCTGCCTCAAAAGTGCAATTGAACCTATGGCAAACAAGACTTCTACATTAGCACATGAGTATTTCTTGCATGACAGCACACATTCCAGAGACATTTACACATTTCATTGTAAGAGGCGCACGGCTTCGGCTTTTTCCAACGGCATCTCAAGTGTAATGACAAAATGCAGCACTTAAGATGTACACTAGACAGGCTTCCCCTAGCAAGCGTGTAATTGTTGCTCCCCCTAGAGGATTCTGCTTGTTATAACAAGACAGCAAACAATACAAAGACAGGAACAAACTCCATGCTAGGAACAGAAGTTAAGGCAATTTGTCAGCGGGCAGGTTGGGGTGAGACAGGGCTAGAGAAAGTTAACAAGGTTTCTGGGTTCTGATTCTTCCTCATCACACTGGCTAACTCATTGCCGTTCCTGTTCCCAGCGCGAGGTTTGCGTTTCACAGTGCTGCGCCACCACTTTGAACAGAGATCAAGCACACCCACCCTCAAGCCATAAGTAAAATATTCCTCCTGCCAAAACTCATTTTCTGTTAGACACAATTGACATTAAGACAAGACTCAGAGACACCCTCCCCACTCCCCATGCCTTGAAAACCAGTGGAAAACTGGACCCCATTCGATATAGTACATTAAAAGAGTAGAAAAGTTAGGTAGGTTTATTAAAGCTTACATACTTTAAAGGAATGTAAGCTCTGCAGCTTAATGCTGCTGGAAGAGAAATGGGAACAGATGAGATCTGACGTCTGTGACGTCTCATTTGAGAAGGAAAGCCCTCTGGATTATATTTCCGCTGCCCTCTTTACATTCCACCCACAGCAGTACAGATTCAAACCCAGGGCAAAACAGCCTGCTGGCAGATGGCTGGGTTTTAAGGCTAGACAGACAAAACCTCCTTCCCCAACCCATCCCAACTAAGCGAAGCAAAACAAGCAAGGTTAACAGCACCGTACTGTGGAGTTTCCCTGTCCGATCTCATCTTACATGCAAAGGCAGTGATTTGGGGGCAGTCTCCATCAGTCCCTGGGTTTGCAGTAGGGAATTGCATTCAGTTACGTTGATGGGTAACCCACTTACAAACTAAGCTTCAAGCTTGGAGCGAAGCGGCTACTGAGATGTTTAAAATATCACCCCCAAGACAATTTGGCATGGCCGGGGACCTGCTCGCAGCGACGGTGCGGTGCCAGATGGTGAGTATCATGCAGCCAGAGCAATGCTGAAAGGAAGGTCTGCACAAGCCAGCTCCCAAACGCCAGGAGATTAGCTAGCTGCCATGCACCCCCTGAGAGCCCACAGGCGTCAGTGTGAAGTCGTACTTTCACCCAACACAGCACCCCATCCCTAAGAGGGAATGCACCAGTGCTAGGTGCCTGCCAATTGGTCCCAGACTATCAAAGTGAGGTGCAAGTAGGTGGCGTTCTAGCATGCTGGGAGGTGGCAGCTGCTTTGCAACGAAGGAAAAAGGAGTCAGTGGGCAAAACCAGCGGCAAGCAGAGCCACTCAGCTCTTCTGGAGAAAGGTTTAACCGTGTGTGCTAGAGCAAAGGGTGATAAATAAGGGTTTGGAGATGGAGATCCCACCTAAGAAAACGAGGGGATCCCTCCACAAGGTACCACAGCGCCAGGTGGCCTTCAGCCAGTGTGCTAGAGATTAGACCACCATAAGCCAGGGACTTTAGTAGCAGAATGTGTCCATATTGGGAGACCAAGAGCTGGAAGGTCAGCAAGCTGCAATGCTCCTTCCCTTGGGTGGGGTTATAGGATAGCTTCCTGCACTGCTGCAGATGGAAGGACTCGAGATAGGTCAGGTGGCAAATAACAAAGGTCACAGGATAAAAGAGCAAATAGAGAACAAAAAAGCAATCCAGTGATGAGACCAATTTGAACGGTGATGGGAAAGGACAGGAACCAGGCACAGAGCCAGAAAGCAAAACGGCTAAAGCAAGAACAGCGAGATAGATGGAGGAAAGGTCCCCTTCCAAGAGGCCAACACATGGCCACCAGCCACTCAACACCTCATGCTTGGACAAGTTTAATGGCCTGCGTTACATAGGTCAGACTAGAGGTTCTAGTGGCCTCTTCTGGCTTGAAACACCCTGAATGTGAAAGTGCAGCATCACCCAAATACCCATGGGATGAGCGAATCGCAGCACCTGATGAACCCTGCCCCTTCACATTTCACAACAGGTTGCGAGTGGACAAGGTATCTATTGCTGGGTTGTGTTCCTAACCAGGACTGCCCCTCCCAGGGCACTGGAGGAGAGAAGCTCCCAGCTCCCTAGAAAAGGCGGGTGCTGGGTTCCAGCTTGCTAAGCAGGACCGTATGTGATTTACCCGTTTTGGCTTTATAGCTAGGGAGGCTACAGGATGTCTCTTAGCAGACGGGAAATGAAATGGTCCTAGATGGATTTTGCCCTGCCTCCCACAGGGCTCTTCCCCAGAGCTCATCAACAGAGGGGCTGGGGGATACCAGCCAGGAACTTTGTTTTGTTTTGTGCTGTGGAGTAGGATATCCAGTCCCTACAGAAAGGAAGATCCAGCAATGGGGATCCCAGAGGTCAGTTAGGATGGGAACTGGCCCACTGACAAGCGGCCAGTTCTCCTTGGCTGGGAAGAAAGGGGCTGTGTGCAGCATCAGTCTGAGGCTTGGCATCTAAGGTAGGGAACATCAGGGCTCAAGTCAGTACAAGGAGGTGGTTTAAACCAGTATTACATAGACCCACTGAACGACAGTCAATGCAATGTCACCAATGACATTTAAGTCACAGACCTGGGCAGAAACTAGACAGGGAAATGCACTGTCAAAACTCCCAGCAGTTCCTTCCTAACCGCGCTGGCTGGACAAGTTAACTGAATACACACGTCTCCCTGCCATGGAGAGAGCACCCTGCTCCAGTCATTCTGTTTCCCAGCATTCTTTGCTAGCCATACTATTCCAAAATGAATTTCAACTCCCTTAAAAACAGGCTCAGCCCAAACCTTTGGTCAGATCTGCCCTATCCCCAGAGAGGCGCCTGCAGCGTCCGAGGAGCAAACGAGGAAGTGATCTTCACAGTGCAGAAAGACTAAGCTGGTCTGATTCTACACTGCAGCAAGAGCATGGAACTGAGCATGCCCAGACAGCCTCCTGGCCCCAAGGAAGAATGCATGCAGCTAGGCCAAAGTTTCAGCCACCCCACAGTATGTAATGGTTGGTTACAAACAGATCTCTATCTGATTTCAGGACCTGCCACGCTCTCAGACAAAGGGCCCGTTGAGTTGTGTCCCTGTCTCAGACGGGGCCAGCACCAGATGCTGGGTGTAACTCCACACCAATGGAGAGTTTTGCAGTCATGTCCTTATAAGATTTAATGCTGTAAAATTACAGTTGTAACAGAAAAAAAAATCTGGGGCGTGACGTTTATTATAAATTATCCTACTGGTGTCACTCCCGGTGAGCTCCCGAATCTTTGCCCCAGGATCACAGAGACCCAACCAATCTCTGGACGGCTGCTGAGGAGCATCGGTTTCCTTCTCCACAGGGGACTAGAATCTGAGTCCCTAACTCCAGTTTACATGCCACAGCCCGAGGCTGGATTTGCACACTATAGGCGCCATATTCACACACATTAGCACTCATGGATCAATCAAAAGCTTTAAGAGACCTAAAGTTAGTACTAATAGTGGAAGGCAGCCTGCTTGTCATGCTGTACTGCATGTACTTCTAAACACCAGACCACTGCTGAACTGAGGTCTGCCAAGCTAGGACCAGATCAGCCCCCTCACAATCCCAGCCAAACAGCCCGTCCATGCCAACAGAAGCGAATGAACAGCCTGGAGTCGAGACGCTAACTGGCCCGCTCCTTGGTAATGCTAATGGGGCTGTTGCCCCAGCGAACACCCCCTCTGCTGTACAATTCACAGGGCTTTGCATCTTGGAGACACACACAGCTTATAGCTTATTCACAGGTTTTATTTTCTTTCAGAAGTGGACTTGATCCATTGACCAACACCCCCGTTAATGCCTGGTGAGTAACTCCGAGTACCGCCCTCCCATGCTTGGGTCACATGTCTGATCCAGCATGGCTGCACATCAGCATCTTTATTTGCAAAAAAAAAAAAAAAGTAATTGACCCCCCAAAATAAATACGGAACAATGCAACCTTTCTGTTGCTCAGGCGCGAATGGAAAAGAGCCCCCTCTCAATTCCAGGTTCCAGCAGTTCCCCACCCCACCAGTTCTTGAATCCACAGCATGTGTTTAAAAAATATAATTTTTTTCTTAATAAGGTTCCATAAAAATACTATTGTTCCTAGTCAAACACAAATATTGCAATATGAAGAGTAACTGCTTTTTTTTGCTCTATAAAACGTGAAAAGGTCTCACACCGATTAATGTAGAAAAAATGCAAGAACTCTAGTATCACAAAAGCCAGTACAAAATGAGCAAGGTGAAAGAATGCCAGTGGCAGGACAGTTCAGGATTCCTTCCCATTTCTACCTAGCTCTTTTTAATAGACCTGTCATCACGGTATCTGAGCGCAGCCGATTCGCTCCCAGATTTAGCCCAATGCGCTTCGTTGCCTCTGGCCTTCCGTGAGCAGCGGCAACAGAGCTGAGCAACAGACCGCTCATGCCCTCGGGAGGGTGGAGGGCCAACATCTCAATAAATACTCTTACGAGGTTCAAAAACGCTCAACGCTTTAAAAAAACAACCACCCCTGGATGATAAGAATTGAACGCTAGGGCATTTTACATAAAATGCATCGTTGTTTTACGTACCCATTAACTGCAACAAATAAGAGGAGCAACGGTGCCAAAAAGCATCTAATAATAAATAGAGAGAGATATATACTCCGTATATGGAGATGAAATGCCCAATTGGAAAAAACAAACATTTGGTAAGGTCGCCTTTGCCTCTTCCCATCCAGCAGGTGTCACTCTCACCAGATCATGCTCGCTCACCATTTCATTGTGCAACGAAAGATTCCACCTTATTAAACAAGGTGCGATTTAACCAGAGATGGGCTGCCTAATCTCTAGGGAATGCAGAGGGATTAACAAGTGTCACACCTCTCCTAGCGGAAAGGCGACCTGTGCAAAGGATCCACGCCGCTGCTCAGCAGTCGCCTTCAGTTCTCCGAGAGGGAGAGCGCCAACGCAGCCTGCAACGCTGCTTCTTCATCGATATTATAGTCCTGGGAACAAGAAGAGTGAACAGGTCAGAGGGGCTGACGAGGAGTAAGTGCGTCTCTCCCTGCATTAATGAGCTGTCTGCCCGGGTGCTCGTACCTCCTGTGACATTCCCAAGAAAGGGCCAGAATGCCAAGCGGAAAGAATCTTCACATTGACCTTCCTTTCGGATCATGGACACTGTCAAAACAGCCACATGATTACAAGAAACCTCACCTGTGCAATTACCTCAGACAGGCCAGGCTGGGAAGAACAGGACATTAATTTACCTTTCTAAGCTTATTTCTTGCATGTTAAAAGGACAGTCAAGTTAAACTGGTCAGTTCTAGCCTCAGTTTCACTCTCTGGTTTGCCTACACACAGCAGGAAGATGCAGCCAATTGAAAAGGTTTCATTTACAAAGTCAAAAAAGGTTTCTATCAACACCACAATTTTTTTTTTCAATACCCACATTTGGGCACAAGCTACATGACCATGAGGATCCTTTGAAAGATGAGACGTGCAAATATTTCAAAGCTTAGTATCTGTCCTCTGAGGTTAACAGTCACTCTGGAATCTAATCTACCAAACGATAATGGCAGATACAAACAGGAGTTTATCTACAAGGTCCCTGGAGCAGAACTGCCCTGGCTGCAGCCTTTGAGGGGCGAGTACCACCCCACACCCACACAAAGATTAACCATGAGGGATACCGGCCAGAGTTCTCATTTGCACACCGCACCAGAGAAGGACATGCCACACTGGGCACGTTCCGTATTTCTGAATGGTCTCTGGAGCTCAGCTTCCAACGCCGCCGTGCGAGAGCACGTCTCAGAGCGAGGGGCTGGACTCAGCCAGCCCAACGTTATCCAACGCTCCTTTTGGGCACATGCCCCACAGCTGTTTGTACAACACGGGTATTTGCATCTTGGACCTTTGCTTCTGGTGAGATGCCAGTACAGCCTGGCCAGCTTCTCATGGATGGAGATCTTCCTGAGGCTGGCTGGAACAGTGACTACTCACACAGAATTACCACCAGCTCACTTCTCTCAAGTCCCCAGTGCAGACTGCGAAGGGAGCTCGCGCTGTGTGCCAAAAGGCAGTGTGGAGCCTGCCAAATGCAACCCAGCTCCTGGAATTAGTGGCTTTACCTCTCTCAAAAACCTTGTTTGTTAAAAATGCATCAAGCTCAGGTGAGATTCAGCCTGCACGTAGAGGCTGGTATGAACTTGACAGCACATTTGGCTGGAACTTTGTAGGCCTAGCGGTTTTCAGTGACACTTCTCTTGCTCATTTTCCAGTGTGTTTAAAAGGGACACATGAGCTGATAAAAAACTTAAATACTCTTCCTTTCCCAACTCCACTGCCTGGCCTCACTGATCACAACCTGGCGAAGTTCATCGGTCAGACGAAGCTCCTAGGGGCAGGAATCTGTTTCATTGCGTGCATAGCTCCGGGGCCCCAGACCCCTCCCTAGGGCCTCACGGCACTACGGCAATAATATAATAATAAAGCAACATACAGCTGACTCCCACAAGTGCAGGCCACAAGAACAAAGCTCAGCCTTCAGACAGGATCCCTCCCCCAACCCTCCTGTGCGCATGTGTCCTGTTGGGGGAACTTCCTACAATTCAACACAGTTTCTTGCCACAGCCTATTGCAGAGTCTTGCTTCACCATTCCAACATGCTGTTTTGTCTCAGTATAGATGTGATTCTATCTAAAAGGCAGAAGTTATTTCAAGGCCACTTAGCTGGTTGGGACAGACACGGCGATACAGAAGAAAACCTTTCCCCGTCCGTTCCCCCACTAAAAGATGCCAGTAACTGATAGCTCAGCATGAAACCTGTGCAAAAATTGCACACAAAAGTGGCGTTCTCATATAGGCCAGCCACATGTGAAGCCAACGCCAGCTAATTAAGGGCTGGAACATAGTCAGTGGGAACAGCCAGGGCCCTAAGCGACTTGAACTTTGATTTGTGGCAGTACCCACCACAAAGGTGTCATAGGAGAACTTGTGCCTGTGTAGGAGATGCTGCAGGAAGTTGGCGCTCTTGTAGCTGGGGTCCCCCCAGGGCATCGCTGAACAGACTGGGCATACCTAGAACATACAGGGGAGGAAAAGAAAGTCACAAGACCAACAATGTGGTGTAGTTCTTAGAACCCTGCCTGCCACCCACAGCCCAAACAGTAGATTTCCTTTTTAATTTCTATCAGTCAGAGGCAATTTCTGCAAACACCTTCTTCAGGAGAGGCTGTACATCTACACAAGCTGGAGAGCTAGGCACGCCGGTCAGCGCTGGAAGCCTCAAGATTTTCGAGACTGCCTAGACATTATGCATGCTCACACATTTCCCACAGGGGCACTGTTAGGATATAGATATTCAGGCCTGTCTTTAAGAATTTAGGTGTATTCTTATCACTTAGCTAGTTATAGAGTATAAAAGAAGAATCAAAATCACTGTCTGTCTGTGTAAGGGTCTTCTCTTACTGTGACAGTCTGAGGCCTGGTTCTTAGGCTAAGGCCTTAGGCTAAGCAGCAGAGGCCAGCCATAAACTGGGAAGTGTACGGTCACATCCTCACATTCCAAACTAGTCACATTGAAATAAGGTGCTATTGGGCTGTTAGGAATACAATCCTGTCCTGATATTCCCATCACCTCCAGGGAAAGGGAAGAGCCTAGAAGATGTAAAAGGAAACTTAGTTTAATAGCATCCTGTCTGGCAAGAACTCACATCAATAGCTGGGATGTGAAATCCTCATTTCTGTATTGTTCTATCACTGTAGTCTCCACTTCCCTATTGTTTGTCTGTATAATCTCTGTCTGGTTCTGTGATTGTTTCTGCCTGCTGTATAATTAATTTTGTTGGGTGTAAACCAATTAAGGAGGTGGGATATAATTGGTTAAATAACCATGTTACAGTATGTTAGAATTGGTTAGTAAAATTTCAGTAAAATGATTGGTTAAGGTATAGCTAATCAGAACTCAAGTTTTACTATACAGTCTGCAGTCAATCAGGAAGCAAGGGGGGAATGGGAACAGGGACTGGATGTGGGGGAATTGGGATCATGTTTTGCTAAGGGGGGGATGGGAACAGGAACACAGGCAAGGCTCTGTGGTGTCAGAGCTGGGAAGGGGGACACTAAGGAAGGAAACTGGAATCATGCTTGCTGGAAGTTCACCCCAATAAACATCGAATTGTTTGCACCTTCGGACTTTGGGTATTGTTGCTCTCTGTTCATGCGAGAAGGACCAGGGAAGTGAGACGGTGAAGGAATAAGCCCCCTAACAGGCACATGCAACTGTGGGAATGGTGCGTGAAAGTGACAGAGTGCTGAGAACCCTTGGGGATGCTCTAGTGGACTAAAGAGGTGTTTGCAATCTGGAGATGGTCCCTTTTAGCACTGATGAGTGTTGAGCACAATAGTCTCAGGACCAGAATGGGACACAGGAAATATGATCACTCAAGTGCAGAGGGTTCCCTGCCAAAAAGCTGTGATCCCTCTGTGAGCTTAAAGGCACGCTGCATTTAGGGACACAGAAGAACCTCCCGTCTCAGAAGCACAAGAGGCCCTTAAAAGTCACAGCCTATTGTAGTGGAAAGTGAGTGGCAAAGCAAAACCATTAGAGTTAGGGAGACAGCACTGAAATCTAGGCTTAACCCAGTTCTTGCTCTGCAATGCACCTCGAGCAAAGCTAATAGATCCAGCTCCGTGTCTGCCTGTCAAAGAGATTTAACAAAGATTAAATGAGCTAGAAATGCAGATAGTACTTTATGCCCAGAAGCAGATGTGTGCGCCTGTTGACTTTGAACAGGGGATTGATTAAAATACGCAGAGACTTCCAATTCACTGGAGGTTACCCCGCTCCCATTCTCTGCCCAGTCAGAAGTTCACGAGCAAAGAGCCGGACACGGAAATCAAGGCCGCGGTGCCAAACTCTCACCAGTCTGCCCGAGGAAAGCTCACCACTTTGTTGGGGTCATTGCGGTGGTTCTCCATGCAGTGCTTGACCAGCTCCTGCTGGTCCAGGTTCCGGGCTCCACAGTAAGGGCAGACAAAAGTGGAACGGTTTGGAATATTGCTAAAAAGAAACAGCAGTCAAGAATTCAACACAACAGAGACCCACAGGGAAGAGGACAGGTGAAAACTGAAGAGGCTTCACAGAGACAAGCCAACCCCAGCGGACTCCAAAGGATCTGATACACCATGAGTCACTCCCTCACCACGAGCACCAACCACCACCTTAGACTGAAGGCAAAGATTTTGATCACATGCTGATGCACCTCCAGTGGCTTCAGTGGAATTACTCTATATTTGCATCACAGTCAGTGAGAGCAGAATCAAGTCCAAAGAGTTTTTGAAGTCTACCTTACCTATTTTACCAGCCACACAGTTTACTTTCTGCATCTCTCCCAGCTGGCAAAATAACAGATTAGTCAGTTTCCCTTTTGTTTTCAGGCAGTTTCTAGTCTATTCCCCCAGGTTCTCAGGCACTAGCGCAATGCTGCACAATGTTAGAGCTGCAAATGGTGCAGGGGAGTCTTATTTGTTTAAGAAAAAGCTTTTCCATTGGATTTTTTTTTTTAAATCATGTAGACATTTGTGTTGGGTCAGGTTTTGGAAAAGCCTATTTAGAAATCCCTCTACAATTCAAGGCCAGATTTGACCTGACAATTTCTGGTTCATCTTGTGCACTGTTTAAATAGCAGATTGTTACAGAAAATGAGATGGGAGGATTCCCCTGTGAAGTGGTTGAATTTGGTATTTTAATACCTGGGAATGGGCTGGGAAGTTGGGACCACTGGAACGAACTTTGGGCAGTTGGCCATCTGCTCTTGAACCTTAGCGCAGGATGAAACGTGGGATCTCATCTTCGCTAGGGTCACCTAGAAAGACAAATAGAGGGAGAAAAAAAGAAATAGATCATTGGACAGCCAGGACAATCTTTGAGAACTCCAAGGAGCAAGGGATGCATTTCTCCAGAAAGAAGAAAACAAGGCAGATGCCCCACTCTCAAGCAAACCAGTACATTCGAGAGAGCAGCCTCCCCAAACGCTTTCTGACAGGCGCCAGAATACAGGAGACCACTAGGATTATTGCACATCAATCTGCACCAATGTGGAATTGCTGGGCCAAAGCGTGTCTCGTTATAGCCAACTAAAACAATCAGCCAACCAGCTCCAGTGAGGAGATGCAGGATTTCGGGGGAATGGGGTGGGCTAGTCTAGCTGATCCCAGAGACTGCTAAGAAAGCCCATTTCCTTTCCATAAGACCAAAGCAAGTCATGGCAGAGCTCTTGCCCTTCAAGGCAACCCAAACCTTACAGTCAAGTTCTCAACAAGGAACAGAAATGCCAGGCTCAAAGGTACACAGGGAGTTCTGGAGTTATTCACTTGACAGCAAGTGAGGCGTTGGAGCAGCAGAGGGAAAGGGTCTCAGTCCCCGAGGTGACAGATGTCCACATCACAAAGCCACCACAACTGAACAACTTTACTGCCAGTCTCAGAGGCACCCAGGTCTGGATTACCCCCCAGGTGGCCCCTTCACGGCAGGGCTGAGGCATGATGGCAGGACAATACCCTAGATAGACCTACTCTCTGCCGTGTTCTCCCGGGCTGTCAATCCAGCTTCTTTCACCAGCTCTAAAGAGAAGAACATCCCACTCTGTAAGGCTGCTCATAAACTAGAGATGAAACACCAGCTGCACCACTCGGGGTTTGTCCCAAGTCTCTCTGGAAGGCTCCGCTGTTTTAATAATGGCACTAGTCTACTGCCAAAGGGCGTTAGGACAAAGATGTTTCACCTGAGCACAGCACCACCTCACAGCAGGCAGCAAAGCCGGCATAGCTCAGATATCTCACAGCCCTTCCTGCAGGGGCCCTCTGGGTTCATAAGCACCAACAGCGCAGGATTTCACCAGGGCCATGTACCTAAGGTCTCAAGTTGAACAGCTCCGCGTGTGAAACTCAGCCAGCCAACCAGGAGATCCCCCGGGTGGAACCACTAGCTGGAGCTTTACCAAGCATGGTAGCAAGTAGTTTGGGTTCCAGAATTTGATCTGCTTTGTGAGGAGTGTTCTCTGGAGTCAAAACATCTATGTTAAATTCAGTGGCAAAACACTATGGTAACACAGAGTTACGGTTGCTTGGAGGTATGTCCCCTTGCAGAACACGGAGTTGAGCAAAACTCAAATTTAGAAAAGCAGGAAATCCACAGTTAAGGAGCCCATGCAATCTTAACTCTGCCATCTTCCAGCAGTGGCCCAATACACACACTGGCCCCATTACTCTGCCAACCCAGTGTTACGGAAATGTACAAGCTCTTCACTGACTTCTACAACCCATTCACTCTCACCCACAGGATTCCATCTAACACAGGGGTTCTCAAACTGGGGGTCGGGATCCCTCAGGGGGTCGCAAGCTGTCAGCCTCCACCTCAAACCCCGCTTTGCCTCCAGCATTTATAATGGTGTTAAATATATTAAAAAGTGTTTTTAATTTATCAGGGGGTGGTACTCAGAGGCGTGCTATGTGAAAGGGGTCACCAGTACAAAAGTTTGAGAACCACCGATCGAACACCATTAAAGGACAAAAAGGAAACATTGGGGTCATTAGCCACACCCTGCACTCTCCCGAGGCACAGCACGTTTCAAAGGAATCCAACTGAGCATGTTCATTTTAGGAAGTTCAACCTTTAAACAGAAGTCTTGACACAACCTTAACTACAGCAGCGCAACCTTACCACTATGATATGCACCGGTGCTGAGGAATTAACGCTCCCACGTCAGGTCTGCACCACAGCTCAGCCAGCAGTAAACTCCCTAACAAGAACTAGGCATGGAGCTGTGCTGATTCCAAATACAGGAGTGGGGGAGATGATCGTTACAGGGAAAGGATGAATTTTAGTAGAAACCTGACGACATTTGTCTTCTAGAAAGGGTTAAGCAACAGAGGGAGAAAATAAGGGCCCGGGTTCCCTTTTTAAAAGATGCATCCACTTAATAAAATGCTGACTTGGCCTGCAAGAGAGCATCGCTAATACTTCATAAACATTCCCGATTTAAGCCTCAGCACCTCTGATGTAGGAAGCATTATCCCCAGCGTCTAGCTGGGAAACCGAGGCAGAGCGAGGGTAAGGAACTGACTCCAGGAGACACTGTGACTCTGGAACAGAACGCAGCTCTCCTGACCCCCACTCTAGTTTTGAGTACAAGGCCGCCCTTCCTGCTATTTGATCGCCTCCCCGACGGGAGCAAAAGTCAGGTTTGCTGATAGCGGTGGGGCACCCTGTTTGTTGTGCTGCCCCGAGGTTCCAAGCCACATGCCTCGTAGTGGAGCATCCCACTTGCCTCCCATCCACAATCTTTGGGGATGCAGGAAGTAACCCCTGAAACAGATACTGTGCTCAAACATAAACCAACACTCATCTGGGCATGGACAAAACCTTGACTAGTACAATGGGCCACCCGAGGTGTCACCCATACCTGTCCTGCCCCCACAATACCAGGTATGGGACAGTCACGACTGGACCCGCTCAGATGGATTACCTTCTTACTGCACCCTCTGCAGGGAGCCTTGTAGGAGGACAACTGCTTCTCCACATTGGAGGCCTTCTCCACCTTTTTGGGGTCAAAGGGCATGCGGCAGAGTGGGCAAAGAGGAGATGGCACTTGGAGACATGGTTGCAAACATTCCCCGCAAAATCTGGAGGAGAAACAAAACCATTAAGTTGCTCAGAGGAGAACCATTATTTATCACAGCCCAGGGGAGGAGAGGAAAGGGCACCGTGGCATTTTGGTTCCCCCGCACATGCCCTCTGACACACCTACTCATAGGAAGCCCTGCCCACTGCCTCCTTGGGGGTGCAGGAATTGATCCCACACAGATCAATGGAACTGGTTTCTCCTCAGACTTTAGGAAGCCGGTAGGAGCTTTTTGGTAGCCACCAAGGATCTAGTAACATCTACGAGACCTTGGGGCATGGAAACTGTTCCTCCAAGTAGATCCAGCACATAGGTCCAATAGGCTGAACTACCTCAGTGCACATCAATGCGCTACTAATACGCAGCTATCAGCAACTCCTGGCTCCTGTTTCAAAAGCAACACACTGTGCATCTGAGTTGCAGGCCTCATCCAGCCACCCCACTCCACTTTATGGGGTCATGTGGGGGCTCATAGGCCACCTGGAGCAGAGAGTTGAGACTTTCACCTACTTGTTCCTTCTGGCCACTACTCTCCTGTTGTAGTTTGCTACCTCCCTCCTGCATAGCCTAGACACTTTCCTGAATTCCCCAAACTAGTCACAGGGCTACTGAACCTACTGGCCAATTTGCCTTCTCCAGCAGCTTCTCCCTACCATCTGAAACCGGATGCTCTATACATGCCGAGACTTCTACGAGTACCTCCAGAGACAGAGCCACCAGTGCACCCAGCCAGGCTGCAATGGCCAAGGGTCCGAAGAGAAGGATCTGGATGTGTCCAGAACAGATAGCTTGGGGGTGGGGCTTCTAAGCGAGGGACTTACGCAGAGCTGAACATGCCTGTTGCATGCAGGACCGCAACAGACCAAACACGCTCAGGTTGTTTCCCCCACAGGAAAGCAGGTTTCCTCCCCAGGAGCCAGCGAGCATGTGTCAGGCTGCAGCCAAGGTAGCATCTGCAGGGGCTGACCTGATGTGGTTAAGGCTGTGCAAAAAGGTCTGGATTTGCATTTACCCCCCCGTGGCCTCTCACAGAAGAGTATCTCATGCTAGAATGAATGAGGTTTCAGATCACGTGCACAGGCTGGTGCCGAGAGCTAGTGGTGCTGTCTGGGGCAAAGTCAGCCCCTCTGGATCCTTGGTTCCCAAGCCTGCAGGAATTAGGAGTGAGACAGTCAATGGACTTGGCCCTTGGGGAAGGGGACACCCTTCTACCGTCTGGTCCTTCATTAAGGAAAACATCTCCTGCATTGACACAGTGAGTGAGGTTGGTTTGTTCCAGGCTGTTTCTGCACAGCTGAGCTGACATACTGCGGTGATGGGGGCCACAGAGGAACACAGACAGAGGTGTTCAGCTAACCAGACAACAGAAGGCATGCAAGTGACATTCTTGCCACACTGCTCCTTTAAACCAACACAGAGTACCTGGACGCTAACAAAGGCCGGAGTTAGGTCCGCTTCTGCTCATGAAACCGTCCATCCAGGAATTCACTTGTGCCCCAGGGTTACACTTGCAAGTCCAAGTGAGGACCTACCAACGTGACTGCCTTTCCATGGCAGCTGCAGGGTTAAATCTCCACACACCAATTTAGAAACATCCAGACTTCAAATGCTGGAGAGAAGTGACCACTCTCTGGGGCTGAGCAGCACTATTAGAACCTACCGCAGCTGGCCTGGGACAGGCCAAAGGGATGTTGGGAAAACAACAGTTAGAGTGAATGACGGGTGCATCACCTCTGACGTCAGGCCTGTCTATAGACGTGTAGTGAGAAGGAGCGTTCGGGGGGTACGTGCCAGAAAGCAGACAGGAGTCTGTTGCCCTTTGCAGACTCCATGCTGCACTACACAGCATCACACGAATAAGATCTAATTGATCTCCATGTGTACCCATGCACAAAACACGAGCTGGGAAAGAGTGCTCCGCTCTGAACCCCAGACGAAGGGCAGGAAGCATTAGCGCAGTGATCCGGAGACCCACAGCAAGGCAGCAACACCAGGTAATGTGCTTTCACTGCAGATGGTCACGCAATGATTTTCAAAAACAAGCCATTTAGGACTTCAGGGGAGGGAAGTAATAGGCCAGGACACATTGAGATTAGGCTGGGGATCACCTCCTCTCAAATCACAGAATACCAGGGTTGGAAGGGACCTCAGGAGGTCATCTAGTCCCACCCCCGCTCAAAGCAGGACCAATCCCCAGACAGATTTTTGCCCCAAATCCCTAAATGGCCCCGAAGGATTGAACTCACAACCTCTGGGTTTAGCAGGCCAATGCTCAAACCACTGAGCTATCCCTCCCCCCAAAGTTCTTATGCCTGCAGAAGCAGGGACCTCAAATCAAGAAATTCTGGGAAATAAACTTTTCTACTGGAAACAGGCCTCTGGGCTACAGGTGAGTGGGGGAGACAAAAAGGGCAAATGGCAAATCCCTCTTGGTAGCACCCCAGCCTTTCCACTGTGAACGGATCTGTCCAGAGCGGAACAGCTAGCTGGCCGTACCTTTTTATCTTGAGCAAAGGGAAAACTGTAGACATCTGTAAAGATTAGCTGGGATCCTTGCTGAAAATAAACTGGAAGCTATAGTTTGCAGGGCTTGGGAGCTGTGCTCCGGCTCCGCTCCAGGCAAAAACCTGCAGCTCCACTGCTCCGGAGCTGCTCCGTGCTCCATCTCCGGGCTCCGCTCCAAAGCCCTGGTAGTTTGAGCCTGGAAAGTTTCCAGACAGCTATATTAAGAACCCCCTCCCTCCCTTGCTCATCCAAGACATGCTCAACAGCTCTGAAATAGACAAAGAGAAGCTGCAATGAATCCATAATTCTTTAAGGTCAACATGCAATCGGTTCATTGTCTGCTCCCCAATAACACAGAGTGGAGTCTACCCAACACCGCCTTGCCGCCCACGACTAACTCTTGGAGTGGGGTTGGATGTTTCAGTTTAGACCTAGGTGGGAAATGTTTTTATTGGTCCCATGAATATTTGAGAGATGGAAACCCCCTCTCCAATCTCAAATTGGGACGAAAAGTCAAAATCTCAAACTTCTGCACTAAAACATGGATTTTTTTCGCGTTTCAGATCAATCAGAAGGTCTTGTTTCGACTTTACCTTTCTTCTCCACCCTGTCCTACTTTAATTAGCTGAAATTTCAAAACGAAATGTCATTTTGAACCAGACAACCAGAATTTTTTATTTTTGAAAATGTCAAAACAAAACGTGGCTCCATCATGTGCTCCCTGCGCAACTCCAAGCAAGTTGCTTCATCTCTTTGTCGCAGTTCCCTATTAGGAAATACTATCAGCCCCATCTTGCATTCTCCTACCCTTTGCCTGTCTTGTCTACTTAGCTAAGCTCTTCAGGGCAGGGACTGTCTCACTATGTGGTTACACAGCACACGAAGGCCTTGCCTTGGTTGGGGCCTGCAAGCATGATGGTAACACAAGCACGTGATAATGCAGAGCACATTGGTACGTGCCAGTTCCCACACCCACCTCATGCCACTTGGTTAGTTTCCTGCCACTGGCAGTCCTCAACGACCCCCCTGCTTGGTGCAAAGATGGACTCTCTCACACAGTAAAGGCAGCGGGTGTCCCCAAAAGCTGCACTTCCTGCCAGTCTCTCTGGATCAGTGGCATGAGGAGAGGGTACTAGATATATATGTACAAGCTCACTACTCTGCTCCTGAACAAAAGCAGGGAGCCACCAGTGAACCTGCCTTCCACCCAGACTCCTCTCCTCAGCAGCTTCCAATGCAGCACATTGCACAGAGGGAAGGACCACATGATCCTCTTAGGGTCTGTTAGCACAGGCAGCTCGCCAAGAGTCCAGCCCATTGGACAGGCAGGGTGAGGTACCAAGTTAAGTAGTTTGGTCACTGACTCAAAGGCACTTTGGTCAAATAAACCCACAGCTTCTCCACATCCCTCCCCAATGCTGCCTTTGCCATCACTACTGACTACTGTCTCTTGGGCTCAAGTTCTAGCTCCCATGTTTTCCTAGTGAAGACAAGATCTAAAGCCCTCATGTGCACGTTGGTCACCTCTCCTTAACTCCTGTAATCTGCTCTCAGGTCTCCCTGCTTCTCCCTCCAGATGCTGCTAGTAATCTTCATCATGTCGCCAACCACCCGTGCGGACTCTACCATTCCCCACAAAGCATAAGCACAGGATCTTCAAAGCTCTGCTCACCCACAGCCTCATTCCCTCCTACTCCCTCATGGGGATCCAGCCCCCACCCATTTCTTCCTTCCATTCTGACCCCAATGCTGGGATGACAGCCCCTTCCTCTTCACAGCAAAGCTGTCCAACATTGTCCCCTGCAAGATTTCTACCTGTAGCTGGTGCATACACCACTGTGTCTACAGGAGGGATAGGCCCAGTGATAGACATGGCTGCCCTCCACATCATGCTCAATCATTACTGCAGGCAGGCCAAATCCGCCCCAGTGACCCAAAGAGGACCAGACCAAAAGGAGGACTCCTGTGGGAGTCACCATTGCAAGGCTAGGTACCAGAATAGCAAGCTCATTGGGGCCGGCATTGTCTCCTGCTCCGTTGGCACAGTGCTGACACTGAAGCTCACTCAATAGAAGGAATGCCACTGGGACAGAGGGAGGCCTAAAATTGGACCGGCCAGCTTGGTTTGATGTAGGAGCATGCACTGCGGAGTCCCTCCGCTCTGCTCTGTTGAGAAAGCCCCGTTCTGAACTGAGTCTTGGAATTGCTGATCCTGTCTGGCTCATCAACAGCCAAGGTGAGCAATGGCCGGAGACTGAGGCCTGCGGACCTTGTCATTGGTCCAACAGAGAAGGGGCAATTTTAAACGGCAGTCTGTGATTTGGAGAAGCTGGACATTTTTCAGGCTCTGAAGGAAGTTCAAGAAGAGCTTTGGGCCCCATCAGCCTGCTGACGTGTCTTTAAACTGTTTACTTCCCCAGGGGAACACGGCTCAGAATTAAGCATTTGGAAATAGTCAAAGGTGCCTGTGTTCCCGGTTTGATTTAACAGTCTCACACACCACCACTATACAGAAAACTCACACCATAGGAGAGAGAAAGCAGGCCAGGCCCTGTCATTTGCAGTCCCCCCAAACAGTTAGCCTCCCATCCACCCTCAAGCGATGCTCAGTCTGAAAATGCAGCCCCAGATAGTGCACTCCCTGGAACTGCAGAGCAAAGCTCATCAGCTGCAAGTTTTTCCATTGCTGGTGAAATCAAACCACCAAGCTACAGTTGTCTACCAGCAGGAGTGTATTTTACATGAACAGAACCACCTAGACATCTGTCTGCTACACTGCATGACCCTGTAACCAGGGGTTTGTACCCTATCTCCTCCCGCAGTCCTCCCTTTCCCGATGAGTGTAATGTCCTTGATCAACAAGCGAGGGCTTGTCTACATGGGCAAGTTTTGGCCCCAAAACTGCCTTTTGGCGACAAAACAGCAAGAGCGTTTACACTACAATGGGACTTTTGTTGTGAAAAACACCCAGTTTTGGTGACAAAAAACGTCCACCCCTAGGAGACTTTTGTCTTTTCCCCTCCCTTTATTGTCGACAAAGAGCCAGTGTAGACACTGCGGATTGTTTTGTCTACAGAACTGGCTTCCGCCAGTATCCCACAAGGCCTGCCCGGATTGCTCAGCTCAGTGTTTTGATCTCCTGCAGGCATGCGCCCCTCCCCTTTCAAAGCTCCGGGAAGGATCTGTGTGCTGCTCCCTTTGGGGAGCCCACAAAGAGCAAAACCCTGGAATGCTCCTATTCTGCACAGCACTAGGGACACGACTGCTGCTGCGGGGGGAGGGGAACGGTCTGCGGTGCTGCTTTGCCATTCCTCAGCACGGATGCTGCTCTGGCAGCGGAAGGGGCTGTGGGACAACTCGGAGAGAATCCCAAGATGCGCAGTGATCAGCTCTTCCTTCCCACAACCCTGCACTGTGGGATACATACCCACGGTGCATTGCTCACCCTGTCGATAATGGTGTCCCCAATGTGGACATGATCTGTCAACAGAAGGAGCAAGTGTGAACACCCTTTGGCGATTTTTGTTTTGTCGACTTTTGGGTGTCGACATAAGTTTTGTCAACAAAACTTGGTAGTGTAGACAAGCCCCGAGGCGCGCTCTCAACTTGTTTTGCCAAGAAGGGACCTGTCCTTTGTGGGGTTTCCCCAGGAGCCTCTTAGCAGATTCAGATAACAATACAAGCACAGGGCACTACAAGGCTCCATAGTTTCTGCTGGTGTCATCATTAGCAGACATTCCTTTCACTCCAGCTGCCATTTTACTATGCAATGCTCGTTCTGCCCTCACACACACTGCTGAAGTGCCCGTCACTGGCGCACCTGGGTGGCAGCTCATGGAATACCCATACCATCAATGTGGGCCCCACCCCTAGCTTAGCTATTTACATTGAGGAGGTGATGAGGGGAGAGTGAGGTAAAGTCCAAGATGGTGAAGGAGGCAGTAAGTTTCGCTGTTTCGTTCAGCACTGCCAGTATGGAAACTGCTTCCGGTTGTAATGAGAAGGGAAAATCAAGGGACGGTCTAGGAAATGCTTCCTTCCAGGCGCCCTATAAACCTTGCTGCTCCCCCTGTGCCCTAGATCAAAACAAAACCCATGGAACATGACATTTGCTAGCACTGAACATAAGAAGAGCCATACTGGGTCAGACCAAAGGTCCATCTAGCCCAGTATCTTGTCTTCTGACAGTGCCTTCAGAGGGAATGAACAGAACAGGGAATCATCAAGTGATCCATCCCCTGTCACCTATTCCCAGCTTCTGGCAAACAGAGGCTAGGGACACTGCCCCTCAAGCTACCTTCTGTCACGTCCCATCCCGCCTCCATCTCTTGCCCAATTAGACTGTAAGCTTTTCAGGGCAGAGGTCTTCCACCAAGCACTTTGCATGTTGCCGATACCACACAAGCAAACCACCACCGTCAGGATAAGTAGTGTTTGCTCCAGAGTTAAACTAGATCAAAACAAGCAGTGCATGTTCTGACACTTACAATTGCCTCACGCTCTGGGGAATCGAGTCATAAGAGATATGCATAGACAGGTAGTTTTAAGGAACTGGGTGACTCAGCTGTTAGATGATCTGATACAACAACATAAGAAGCTGCCAATCACGCAACGCCCAAACAGACTCCAAACAAAGCTGAAAATTCAATGGCTCCATTCAAGACAAGCACCCATCGCTCACGAGCCCCTTGGGCGAAATCTGGCCCATGGGAGAGTCAGGAATGGACAGGGCAGGGGATTTTGTTTTACATTCACATTCAATCCCATGGAAAAAAATCAACCGACTCCCCCTAGGCCAGGCTGAAAGCCGGGCTGGCTCCGCACGGGGCGGGCAGGGGTCGGTGGGGGAAGGGGCTCCAGCCCTAGGTGGGGGGGGGATGGGAGGGGGAGGGAGGTGCTGGGGGTCCCATGGGTGCCCCCGAGAAGGGGTGGGGGGATGAGAGGGGGAGGGAGGTGATGAGGGGGTCCCATGGGTGCCCCCGAGAAGGGGCGGGGGCCAGGCGCTGAGCCGGGGGCCAGGGGGGGGGGGGGAGGGGGGGGGGTATGGGCTCCAGGGTGGCCCCGGCCCCCCCCCCCGGCCCCGGCCCCGCTCACGTGTGGCCGCAGCCCGCGATGCACACGGCCCGGTGATACACCTCCAGGCAGATGGGGCAGCTGAACTGCGCCTCCAGCGTGTCGGGGGCGGGGCCGCCGGGCGGCTGCTCCCGCGGGGTCCCGCCCGGGCCCGGGGCCGGAGGCCGCTGCTGGGCCGCGGAGACCAACAGGCTCCGGAACATCGCGGCCGCCATGAGGGAGGGGCGGGAGCGCGGAGAGCCCCGCGCATGCGCGCGTCATCGCGGCGCGGGGCGGTGACGCAGAAGGGGCGCGCCGGAAGCGGGGGACGACGACCGGGGCTGCGCGTCACGTGGGGGAGGGGAGCGCTGCCGCCATGTGCCAGGCGCAGGAGGAGTACGGGGGCTGCGGCCAGCCCCGGAGGCGGCCCCGCGTCAGGTGAGAGCCCGGCCCCCCGCGGGGGGGTCACCCCCGGGGATCGGCCTCGCTGGGCTGTGGGGCCTGGCCCGGCCCGGCCCGGCTCGGCTCGGCTCGGCTCGGCCCAGCATTAGCCAGGGCCGGCCACGGCCCATGAACCGCCCCCTCGCCTGGCCGCAGAGACAGCGGGGACGAGGGGCCAGCTGGAGCCTGGGCCAGGCCAGCTCTGGCCTTGGTGCCCGCGGCCTGCCCGGCTCGCTCGAGCCGCAGAGCGGGATTTAGGGGGGACGTTGCTGCGTCTATACTGGGGGCTAGGCCGGCGTAGCCCCGGTGCTCAGTCATGTGGGTTTCTCACCCCCCTGAGGGACATAGCTATGCCAGCCTACATCCTGAGGCCAGGCCAGGCCTGGGGTGTTGACCGGTGGGCGTGGGGGGGCTTATAATGCCCCGCACAATGGGACACTGCTCCTCACTGGGGCCTTTGGGTGCTACAATACCTAGGTATAGAGCCACCAAGGTGACCATTACCTTCTGCTGTGACTATTTTACTCACCCCTTAGGGCTTTGGCCCTTCAGAGGAGAGAGAAATTGCAGGGTGCCCCTGGACCTCATCTGGCCAGATTATCACATGGCCACAATTGACATGGCACAACTGCAGCTGTGTATGTGCAAATACCAGCTTGAACACGTGCCTCCGGAGTTGTGCTTTGAAAACGGGACCTGACATAATTGACATGTGGACTGAGATTTGTATAGTTGGAGGTGGTAACTGGTCAGCTCCAGGGCTAATAGTATAACGTAGCCTTTTACTGCTAGGCCACTGGTTGCGCTACCACCTCCCGTGCGTACATAACCTCAGCATTTCAGTCTCTCTAGTTCCCACATCAACCCCAGATTCATTTATTAAAAAAATACAATTGTACTACGCCCATCCTTCACCTCCGTACTTACAAAGCACCTGGTATCTTCCAAGTGTTTAAACACGCTGATGGTGGTTTGCATTGCTCTTTGCGTGAAGGTGGTCCCTAGAGTGGTAATCCGTTCGCTTTGATTCTTTCCCCAGCTGTGCGCAGAAGTGCATGAAGTGCAAGGAGGCCTCTCCTGTGTTAGTCATTCGTGTTGGAGATGCCTTTTGCAAGTAAGAGCGAAACAGCCATAGCGATTTGCAAGAAAAAACCCTGTTCAGAAGGCCAGAACATTCCCATCTTTAGATCCTCATTTACTGATCTTTATAAATCTGTTTGAAATAGGGCTGTTTATGAGGAGGGTTGCAAGAGAGATTCAAACCAACTAGATAATAAAGAGCACAACAGTTGTGTGCAGCAGACTGAATTCACTTAGGAGTGTGGGGAGTTGCCCTGTAAGGCCCTTGCTTTGGATTGGCATCATTTTGTTTCTGCACAGACCCGATCACTGCCATTGCATGCAAGAGATACTGTGATGCAGGGCCCTAGTTGTGGAGAAATGGGGTATGAGTGTAGGAAAAGGGGGAGGGGGTTCACCTTTTTTTTTTTTTTTAAATTTGGAAAACAGACAGATGTAATCTGCCCCATATTGTTTTTATATGAATCTCGGAAGTTGATTTGTTTGAGCTCTGCAGGCCAGGTTTTGGAATGCTTGGGTTTGCAGTTGCGTAGGCAGTTTGTACGGATACTACTGTGACTGAGAGTACAACCCAAGCAACTGCGCGCACGCAAGTGATCAGAACTCCAGTTGCAGTTAACAGTGGGCATGCACATACCTGCATGCCTATGGTCTTTGCAAACGTGGCCTTCTAGCGCCTTGCGCACATTTTTACCCTGACCGCTCTGAACTGAGACTGGGGACCAAATTACCTCTCCGTGTGTCTGGCTTAACTTGACCATTTACAAAAGCAGCAAACCCTTTTAAATGGATACCTGCCTTTGTACACCGGAACTTTTTCCTCTTCGGCTTTTTATTTTGTTTAAGTGTTTTGGCTCAGAGGGCTAGAGAGGGATCCAGTCCAGCAAGCCTGGTTTCTCAGACTAGCTTTAAAATGGATCTTCACCGACTTCTAGGTCCCCACACTGGAACTGTCTTGCTGTCAGACAGAAGCTAATTGATGAAATCTTAAGGGGGGACTCATTGACTGACTTCCCTGTCGGGCAGGGTAGCAGGCAGTTCCCTGTGCCTCCTGGTTGGCCTGTGCTGGAATCAAAGCTTTATTAGTGCGAGATGCGGGTGCCCGAGGTGCTGCCTGCCAAGGCTGGGATCTCGCGTAAGGTTGGGAGTGTCGTTTCTAATGACTTACGTGCGTGTTTGTTTCCAAGGGCCTGTTTTAGGGAGTATTTTGTTCACAAGTTCCGTGCGATGCTTGGGAAGAATCGTGCCATTTACCCAGGAGAAAAGGTAGAGTCGCTTCTTGTGTAAGGGCGGGACGGCTGTGGGAAGGTGAGGGGGAAGCAGAGATGAATGGTTAAGTCTCTCTCCTATCTCCCTCACAGGTTCTTCTTGCATTATCAGGTGGACCTGCCTCCAGCTCAATGCTTCGACAAGTCCAAGAGGTATCCGCTCTGCAGTGCTGCGGGGAAACTTGTTAGGAACAGTGAGAGCAGTTAGCCGGAGGAAGGAACAGCCACCTGGACCGTAGCAGGGGTGTTAGAGATGGTTAAGAGGAGGCTGATGAACTGGCAGAGAGGAAAGCATTGCTTTGTGGGGTGAGGGCTTGGATCTCCCAGGAGGGCTGTCTGCTTCTGTCTGCCCCCATGTCTAAACTGTAGAAGTGCAATCAGTGAATGTGGCTCCTTAGAAGTTCTCACAACTCCTGTCCAGTGCACCTGCAGCTCTCTATTCCCAAAAGGCGGGGAGCATCTAAGCTATGCCCACAGTTACTGTGACAATGCGTCCAAATGTCAGTGTCCAGGTCAATGTCTGAGCGGAATCAGGTGTCAATTAGAATCACGTGGTCTAGGCTGGGGCCCATGAGATCGAGGTGTGTTGTTAACTAGAAACATTCGCCATCTCTGCCGGGGCCGTGGGAATGCCTATCTAACAGCCAGGATTAGAGGAGTCTGACCTGCCCTTTCTGCTAGATCCAGGGGATGCTGCTAAGACACGCAAACATGAATTACATTTCCCAGCGCTTGGGACGAGTGGCTCATTCCCATTTCTCTTCTCAGGGGCTGAGTCGGGAGACAGCCAAGAAACTGCGCTTTATGCCGGGCATCATCTACGTTGACGGTAACCTAGCAACCTGCCCTGCTCCCAACCCATTCTGTGCACGCGGTCTTGGGCCAGCCTACAGCCAGAACCCTCTGGAATGTGCTGATGCTGTCCAGCATTAAGAAAGCTGGTTTCGGATAGTGCCCCTCTCACTATTAAGGCCAGTCTAGTTTCTCCGCTCTCCTGTTACTGGCAGCGTCCCTTCAGGCCTGGAGAGGCAGGCTCCCCAAGCGAGCAGTGAGATGGCCGGTGCACAGAGTAAACATATTGGAAATGGGGGGTTAAGCTAGTCTGGTTCAGTGACTGGCACCCAGGGGAGGCACACTTCAGACACACAGGTGGATGGTGTCCCCTTCCCAGGAAGGGTCCGGCCACTCAAAGGCTCCCACACCCCTCCAGCCAGAGCTCCCTGCATGGGCTCAGGAGTAAGGCTCTCAGCCTGATCCACCCCTCACAGTATCCCCTCATCAGGCAGCAGCTTCCCCACCTGTACTGGTTCTCTGGTCCCCCTGGGCAGGAAGCAGGGGGAGATTCCTTCCCGTGGGAGGCGTGGGGAACTCGGAGCCTATCACTGCCCCCTCTAATTTCCTTGCCCTCATGAGCGGGCAGGAAGAGGGGAAGTTTCCTCTGTCGTTGCCCTGACAGACTATTAACCCTTCCCCTGCCCAGCTGAGGGTGGGGTATGTGTACCCCCATTGCAGATAGGCTAAGGCTTATCTGCAGCTGCTATCTGCTCTCTTTAAATCCGAAGAGACAACACGCTGGGCAGCTACACCAGCCCCCACTATGGGGGGGTGATGGACCAGGGGGTTAGTGCACCAATTGTGCTTCCATCTCCAGAGACTGCAGAGCAATCCCAGTCTGGACGCTACCCGAGCACGAGTTAGCAGGTCTCTTCCCAGCCTCCAGCGGCTGCATGGGCTGGACATGCCCTGCTGAGCCCAGCACTTCGTTCCTCGACCAGATGGGCGCTCTCCGCCTGGCAGCACCAGCAGGCTGCGTAGGAGTCGAGAGACTGTAAATGGGATGGGTGTTTGAGGATGGAGGGGGGATCCTCCCGACGTCCCTGGGGGTGTTGAAAGGGAGTGGGGCTTGGCTGGAGGATCAGTGCATTTCTTCTGGGTTCTTTTGCTGGGTTCTGCTGCTGACTCAGTGGCGTAGCCTGTTGTTTGACTACGCTCGCGCATCAGTCTTAAAAACATTCGAGACCAGCCAGCTGAACTTAGCCAAATGCATCGTCTAAAGAGAAACCGGCACAACACGAGGAGACGAACGCACCCTCTCGCGGTGGGTTCGCCGTGCATGGACGGGTGCTTCAAAGTACTGCATTTCAGCTAGCCGCATTTATAGGATGATTTTACAAGTTACAAAGCTCTTTATATGTCACTGAAGTCCAAGCCCTCCGTTTGTACTGGTTCCTTCACTTGTTGGCCTGTTTGTTCCTTATCTTGGTTTGGATACTAGCACTCCAGGGATGTGAAGGTACCTCCCCACTGTGCTGGGGCAGAACATTCATGTATTTTGCCTTTGACAAGTTTCTTATTTTCTAATGCCAAAGCTGACTTCAGCTTTGCAGAGCGTTATGGGATACTTGATGGATGAATAGAATTGTGGGAAGAGCATAATTCATTCAGTTAA